GGCTGGGTGTCGTTCCTAGAGCCATTCCGTGAAAGGGCCTTCCTGCACCATTCAGACATCCGTTCCTCTCTTAAATTCTACCTGCTGAAGCTACCTGCTTCGCCTTTCCACTTGACAGGGCTGGCCCCAGGAGCACAGGGCTTCATGGCTTGGTTGCCCCACTTTACTTTTTAAGAAATAGGTTCCACGCTAACAACTTTTCCTGAAATAGTCATCCTTTTATTCAAGCAAGCAAGCAAGCAAGCAAGCAAGCAAGCAAGCAAGCAAGCAAGCAAGCAAGCAAGCAAGCACTGTGAAATTCAACGCCCACGGTGGCAAAACTACCTTTTAAAACAAGGAGGAGAAAAAAGTTGCTACCATTTTGTCCCTGTTAATACCCTCTAATGTTTGCAGTTTTTTATCCATAAAAAGGGGGTGTATGAACAAGGGAGGCGCCCTACTTTTTACAGAGGATCTGGTTGATATCGCCAGCCTTTCCTTTCCAGTGTTTCCTGAGTTCTGCTGTTGTTTTGATTTTTCAAAAAGCTATGAAACCCCCAAAACAAGGGCATTTCTTTTGTAATGCAACACAGCTGAAGCTGTAGCTTGAATAGTGTGGCTGTGGAAAGCAGCACACTCTGGCTTTTAAGGACTTTCCCCCCTTTAATTAAACACATCTTGTTTGTAGATTTATCCAGTTCCATTCCTCATGCACACGGATCATAAGGAAAAGTCTATTAACTGTTCCTTGAATGCCTCATGTCAGTTTCTCTTCTGGGACAGGCAATTATTTCACTATTATTTTTGTTTCCACTTTTTGCCGCACTTTTTACAGTAGCCCTCTTCTACAATGATACACTTGAGGAGGGAAAATGAGAGATGGTGGTGGTGATGACATTACATTTATATCCCACCTTTTTTCCTCCTGTGAGGAACCCAAGATGGCTCACATGGGTCCATTTTATGCTCACAACAACCCTGTGAGGAAGCTTGGGCTGACCCCACAGTTGCCCAGTTGTGACTGACCTAGAGTAACCCAATGAGCTTCACGGGCAAGCAGGAACTAGAACCCAGAGCTCTCTGGTGTCCAGTTGAACACTCTTAGCTATCACATTGGCTCTAATAACTAAATAATTAAAGATAACTAGATAATTAAAGCTTTCCACTCCACAGTGAAGATGGCCTTACTTGAGAGCATCATTAATGAAGGATCTTGACCGTAGGGAAGGGCGCTGCTGGACAGCGTGGTAGTCTTTGATGTGCTTGGGCAGAACCTCCATCTTAATTTTGTTTCCAGCTAAATGTGGAGAAATGATTTTTCAGCATCACATAGAACGGCTCCAGTGTAGATGCAACTGAAGCAAAGGAAGACGGGGCTAAAGCTGCAGGGTCCATGACACATTAGCAGAGAACAGTAGGGGCTTTCCCCCCACTTTTCATTATTATTTCTGCAGAAAATACATAGATTGTGTGAAGCCAACATTCAGATCTCCTTGTCTGGGCTGGGCAGGATTGATCAGGTACAGTATTTCATAAAGGATCATGTGTGCAGTGGATACAGAATGTAATGGCTGCCACCAGAAAAGGATTTGGGGGCAGAACGTTAGGCCCCCACCCAGCAGGGTATACAAGAGGGCCTTAAATGCGGCAGGCCTAGCTTGCCACAATTTGAAGTATGCGTAGTAAAATGCATTATCATTGGAAGAGCTGTAAGATCGGTAAGTCCAGGGTCTAAGATTACCTAACTGCACCACCCATTGGTATTGTTGGCTTGATCGAACTTGTTCTAAATGATATAATGCAATGTTATAATGAAAATATAAATCCATATAACAAAGGGATATCATCTGTGCAGCCTGATCCCAACATACTCCTCATCTGCTTTGTTCCTAATTCAACAGGGAACAATGCCTAGTTTTCCACCTAGGGGAAAAAAACCAAATGCATCAATACTAAAAGGGGAATACTTGGCCCAACAGCACTGAAAAAGAAAAAGACTTTGGAGTTATTGTGGACAACAATAATAGGAGCCAGCAATGTGATGCACCCACAAAATTGACAAACACTATTTTCAGATGCATAAATAGAAGCATCACTTCCAGGACAAGAGAAGTACTAGTTCCCCTCACTTGGAATACTGGGTTCAGTTCTGGGCACCCAAGTTTTTAAAAGATGCAGAAAAACTAGAAAGGGTTCAGAGGAGGGCAACGAAGAAGAAACTAAGCCCTGTGATGAGAGGCTGAGAGAGCTGGGCATGTTCAGCCCCGAGAAGAGAAGACTACAAAGAGATATGACAGTACTCCAGAAGTACCTCCAAGGCTGTCACAAAGAGGAAGGAAAAGACCTCACTCATCCTGGAGTGTAGGACATGGAACAACGAACTTAAACTGTAGCACACCAGATTTAGGATAAATACCCGGAAAAACTTCCTGTCAGAATGATAGGACAGTGAAACCAGCTGCCAAGAGAGGTACTGGGCTCTCCCACACTAGAGACACAAGTCAAAGCGGGACATGAGTGGGATGCTGTGACTTGGCAGTGGGTTGGACCTGATGGTCTCCTTAGCCTCTTCCAGCCCTACTATTCTATCCTGAATCTTCCGCTGACTTCCTTTTCTAATGTTATATTCCGTCCATGGTTGCATTTTAGGGACTACATAAACATGACCTGATGGCCTTCATGGCCCCTTCCAGCTCTACTATTCTGTGACAGCATTCCTTTCAGAAAGACCTGAGTGTTGCTTTTGCTTACAGGGAATTGCAGGTACCGTGTGGGAAGTGGGGTGGCAAGGGCATAGGCTACCCCACCACCTGAGCTGGGAGAAAAGCTGCTGCTGCAGCCATTACTGCAGTGATGCGCACCCACCTTGAGTACAGCAAGGAGACCGGCATCGGCAGCCATCAGGGAGTTGCTTTGGCTGAAGTGAAGGGGATTCTCCTTACAGCTAGGCATTGACTGGAGAGGGCAGACCAGGTAGGTGCAGGATGGGATGGCTGCTGTGAAGGTAAGAGGTCCTGGGGTTCCTCCGCAGTGCAGGTGATCCCCCGGGGCACCTCTCCAGCCAGTGATGCCTGAGTTCCAGGAAAATCTCCCTCAGAGCCAGGCATCTGTATGGCTCTCCAGAAAGTCTGCCCACTGCCTTATCCAAAGAAGGTTCTTGGAGCAAACCAAGCAATGGCCCATCCTCTGTTTCACTCCAAGAACCTGAGCAGGTGGGCTGTTCTGGAGAGCCCCACAAGCTGCCGTCCGGCAGTGTTTGCCACAGAGCAGGGTTTCTCCAGCACGCCCACTACTGCCACTGGCTTGCTGCAATGACGTGACAGCGGTAAGCCCTCCTGCTGTCTGGAAAGCATGCCATTCGCTGGTCCACCATCTCATCTCAAGGGAGGACCACCCTGGTGGTGCAAGGCTGTTCCGAATGGACCCAAACTGCTGCCTTCCCTGCCTGGATCAGCTTTCCTGCTTTCTATTTTTTTTTTTTTTAATCCACAACCAAATAGTGTCATGTCTAGTTGGGACCTTAGCCAAAGATGGCAAGGTTGCAGGCAGAGAGGAAATAGATGGTTAGTTGCTGCTAGTTTAGCTTTGGTGGTCTTGTTGTACTCCCTGTAAAACTGTGTGTGTGTTTCTTTAACGATTGCACTGTTTTCTCATTGCTGGCTGCTGCCAGTGCGCTCCCAGAGGACCAGCGGGATCGAAGTATTCAGAAGAGGGGTCTTAACCTCTTTCCGCCTGGGGGCCGCACTCCCTTTTGGAGAGGCACTTGTGAGCCCCATTCTGGGTGGGGTAGGAGGCAAAAAAAAAAAGACTGGGCCAAAACTATCAGCATATGGGAGCTTCAAGCCCTTCGAGCGATGAACTAAGAGCACAGGTATTTCAACCTTTGAGAACGACGCTGGCCTGGAACCGCACAGAAAGGGGCGCAGGCGCACTGGATTCTGCTCGCTTCACTTACAATGAATGAATGAAGTTCCGTTTTAAGGCGATAACTTCGTAGGGTGAAAAAGGGGAGGGCAGAGAAAGAGCTGTGGGGTACAGTTCCCTGCGTGCCTGAACAAAAGAGAAAAGTCCTACAACTCCCAGCATTCCCCAGCCGGTGAAGGGAGTTCCGAGTGTGTCCCGTCTAAGCACGCATAGGATTGCGCCCTAAACTTCCTTCTCTGCCCTCCACTCTTTTTGCGAAGTGCTGCCCCGTTACTGAAGCGGGAGGGGGTAGTCCCCGAGGAGGGCAGGAGCCGAGACGGGTGGTCCCGCCGCCTCCCGGCCAGGGATGCTTCGAAGCGGCACCAAGAGCGAGAGGAGACGAGGGCAGTCCCGGGCCCCGCTGGTCTCGGGTTCCATCACGTGGGTGCAGGAGCGGCAGTCGTCGGAGCAGCCGCCGACTTGTCTCCCAGTGGCCGAGGTATGAGGAAGTCGGGGCGAGGCGCCCTCGTCGCCACGGTTCCTCGGAGCCCGGCAGCGCGGCAAGGGCGGAGAAGCAACCCAGTACGTGAGTGCAGCGCTGTCCCTGCGGGACGCGGCTCGGGCTCCCTCCCGGCGACCTTGCGGAGATGGGGGCGGCACAGCGACTTCTCTCCGCCGCTGCAGACGGCCGAGAGAGGGAGCCCGGCGGGAGTCTTGCTTTGCACCGGAGCCGTCCCCTCCCCACAGCAATTATGACACTACCGCTTCGGCTCTGGAGTCGCTAGGATCCTCCTCCCAAATCCGGATCCTGCCCCCTATCCCTTTCCCAAAGGAAGAGGAACACCCTGATTGATGATTAACTCTCGGGTTTCCGCGCGTGCTGTCCCTGCTTCAGCTCGGGCGGGCCGAATCGGGCTTTCTCGGTAAAGCTCTGCATGCTTTCGTGCGTTTTGCTGCTGCTGCTGCTCCTCATTTTGACTGCGCGCGAGTTGTGGCGGCGGAGTGTTCCGGTATGACTGAGAGAGAGGGAGGGAAACAAGACAACCAGGAAGTTGTGGGCAAGGGTCTTTTTGATAATTTCGTCGCGGCCGGGAGCTAGCAAACGGAAAATTAGCTTATTTATTTTCCTACCTCTCCCCCCGCTTTTTCTCCCAGCGCCTTTGCTATCGATTCGGTCCTTGTTTTAGAGCCCTACGAGGCGGAAAAGTGATTGTGGGAATTGGGCATGCCCTAGGGAAGGGACTGCTACTATTGCTGGATGCTTTCCGCCAACTGTGCTGTACAGATGTTGGATGTTCTTCACAGCGGCTGGTCCCAGCGGGGCTAATGAGCTAGGTCGCTCCCCCCACACACACACCCACCCACAAGCGCGCGCGCGCGCGCTCCTCCGCCTGCTTGCGGCGTCTCCGGTGCAACTTTTGTAGAACTCGCCACCGAGTTGGCTGCTGTCTACGCGCGCGCGGGCGCGCCGCCGAAGTTCAGCCGAGCCGCTTCCCGCAGCCCGGGAAACCGACCCGCCTCCGGATTTGCACACTCATACACACACACATTTTTTTTTCCCTCAGGTTGGTGGCGTTCGACGGCGGCTGGGCTCAGCGGCCGTGTGAAGACCAGGGGGTGAGCCTGCGAGAGCAGCGGCAGCAGAAATCTGGGGCTCCTGATGGAGGAGGAGGAAGTAGTGGAGGTGGCAGCGGAGGTGGCAGCGTCAGCTGCAGTCGACAGCGAGTGGCAAGGGGTTGCTCAGAAGAGAAAGGCCTGGGCGAAAAGCAGAGACTCTTGGCAAGCGTCGGAAGCGGAGCGACTCTCGCCAGATCTGACCCCGGAGCAGGAGATCGCCGGTGGAAAGTTGTCTTTGGCTGCCGAAGGAGGTCTGTCCTGTCGGTCCTCTTCTCGCTTCACTCCGCTCGCCTCCCCACAGTTGGGAACCACCCGAAAGCTAACGACCCGGGGGCTTGTGTCACCTGAAAGGCAAACGGGCTGACTGGTGGCACAAGCCTTTGCAGGTTGGCGCAACCCGCCGCACGCCGGACCCGAGGCTTACCGCGTCTGATGACGTCCCCGAAGCCTGTGCCGCAGAGCACGGGCTCGCCAGCCTTTCAAGTGTCCCGACCTCCTCCTTTTGTGTCTGCCGTAACAGCGGCTGAACAATTGAGGAAAGGGAGGGGGTGGTTTCGAAGGCCGCACTTGTGTGGTTAGGACTGGCTCCCAATATCGAACACTTACTAGAGGGTGAATCCTGCCACACTGACAGTCTTCTATATCCGAAGTTCCTTTACTAATTGAAATTGAGAAGGTGTGTTCATTAGGAAGATTGAGGGATTCAGCCTCAGTTGAGGGACAGGCTGAAACAGTTCCAATTTTATCATTTCTGGTTTTCTAGAAAAATTAAGGAAATGTTACGGGATTTGGCCCCATACCCTAATAACTATTGAAGCTGTGCCTTGACATTTTTACAGGACATTTAATTAAATGAACTCTTGGCCATGAATAAGAAATATGTTTGGCAGATTTTTGACTATTTTAAATGCATTGTTCATCAGTTAAGTTCCTTATCTCCTGTTCCTTTCTGACCCCTTTCTCCTTATTCTGCAGGCAGTATCCCAAATGAAAAGATTGCAATATGGCTTAAAGACTGTAGGTGAGTACTTCTTGTAATGCATGGTACAGTAATTAAATACATTCTTTCATTTTAGGTCTGATCTGTGCCAGTCCCATCCTGGTTCCTCTAGAGTACTTAAAACTTTGGCATGAGGTCATTTTCAATCTCTTCAGTAGTCCTCTTAAGAGCCAGTCCCAAACAGTGCTGCATTGAAATAAATTCTGTGGACTGCTATGGCAATTCGCCCCCCATCTCCTCTAAGAAGTAATTAGGTTTAAGACCATAGAACACAATCCTGTGCATGCCAGGACCGGGAGGATGCCAGTGGGGTGTACTTCTGAGTAAACAAGTCTAGGATCAGGTTTATAGAGGCACGCTCAAGCCAACTGTTTCAGTAAGTTCAAGTATTTTGTACTGGATTGTGCTTACATTTCAACAGACATGACTGTGCTTTCAACAGAAAGAGAGAGGGGGAGTAAAAGGAAAATGCTTGGTCAGTGTTGTTTGGATTACAGTTTATTTTGTTCAGGAAACAGCAGCTGCTCTTTTGGGATTGCAGGGTCTGTGTCATAAAGACACGCTACACAGTGCATACACAGAAGGGTTGTCTGAGAACAGAACATTTACAGAAACAAAGGCCATCGTCCATAGCATCGCTCTCTTTCATGCTTTCACCTGTGATCTTATGTGCATTTAGGCTGCAGTGCTAAGAACTTGTACCAGGAAGTAAATCCCACTACAACCAGTTGGATTTCCTTCCATGCTTGTAAAGCATGTGTGAAATCTAGCTTCTAGACTGGGAAGAAATCCACTTTAGACTCAGGGCTGTTATACGGAAAAGAATTCATTGCACATCGATTACATTTCCAGGCGCACATTCTTTAGATAAGACGATGCGCTGCCCAGTGTTATTAAAAAGGCTTCATTCGATTTCCTGAGGAATGAACTTGATTAGAGTGATGAGTCTGAAATCACTTAGTACTGGGTACACTTGCACTGGCCAAGGAGCAGGCTTTCTCTTCAGGAATGCCACAATGCTCCCACGAACCATTGTGCTGTAGTGATTAGAGCAGGCGTCTCTGACCTGGTGCCCTCCAGATGTTTTAGACTGCAACTCCCAGATTCCTGACATTTGGCTGTGCTGGCTGGGGCTTAAGTTCAGAACCTCTGAAGGGGCCCAGGTTGGGGACAGCTGTTGGATTAGACTGGAATGATTCAGGTTTATATCTTTACACATCTGAGTGGCCTCAGGCCAGGCACTCTTTCTTTGTAGAACCCAGCAGATAGGGTTGTCGGGAAGATAATAGAGAAGAACCATTTCTGCTCCCAAAGCTCTTTGGAGAAAGACTAGGATGAAAATATAACAACACCTAGCTAATTTATAGCTGTTCAATATCTCTGTCTACTGTGGAGATTTCATACAACTTTGGAAGCCCTTGTCAATGCTTTCTTTTTAAATTAAGGGGATGATTTTTAAAACAAGCCTTAACAGCACAGGAAGAGACCCAAGAAACAAACCGGTTATTTGAGGAGGAGGAAATCATGTCTTTGTTGCAGGGGGTAGGTTTAATTTACCAATTGGAAACAGGCTTAGTACCTCTTTATTTCTGGTTACCTCTGTTTGCATTCTGCATGCCTTGCTGCAAAGGGATTCAAAAGCAGACCTGGTGCACAAGAGCAGCTTCCCCTCACTTACAGTGCAACGAGTGCAAAGTGATCAATTCTATATACATGATCTAGAAACTGGGAGGGGGGTGTCATTGGGCTGGGCACTATTTGGTTCTATTATTGTTGTGTTTTTAATGTTACGCTTCCATTGCATTTGGTTTTCACTTTTATTATGATTAACGTCCTTAATCATCATCTTTGGTGGAAAGGTGGGATATATATGTAACTACAACAATAAAATGAATGTAGCACATAAAAACAATGTTTGGGATTTGTTGTTTTTTGTTGGCAAGTCTCACTGGCCCCTTCAAGACCCGTTGCATGTTCCCTTCATTTTTCCAAACTTTTTGAACTCATAATAAGTTAATTGAAGCTATTTTTCTTATTAGCCAGGACTCAAAGAACAGTGCAGCTAGTAAGAGTGTTTTTCAGGCAGAATTTGGAATTTGGAAGAACACATATTGAAACAGAAAGAACTTTCAAACAGAAGTTATGTTAGGAGCTGGGAACTGACTGCTCAGAACAAATAATTCTAAATCGTCCAAAGTTTGGTTGAGCTTGACATAGTTCTGTGGATGCTGGTCGTGATCACTGTTGTTCTTTCTGATCTTGAAAAGTATTCTGGGAGGTTAGTTTACACAGAACATTAGGTGGGTCTGTCACTACGGTTCTTTGATTGTATTATGATAAAATAGACATTGTGATTTGCTTTATCAGAAAAAAGCTAGTGTGGGAACCAATTAGAATGAGAGAAGGAGAGAGAGAGTTCCCAAACCTGCAACCCGGCCTTATCATTTTGGCTAGGGCTGGTTTTGAGCTATAGCTATCAGAAAAGCCTAATTAGCATTTTCCCCTCTCATTGGAATAAATTTAATTTCTCTTAAATTAAAACAGATGAGCAGAGGAAACTGTGCTGCACCCCCAGCTTTGAAAAGGGGATTTTAAAAGCTTTGAGGAGCCAAGAGCAAGAATTCCAGTTACTTCTGGGATAATTCTTCAACCTAGATGCCTTGCAAAACTTCAAAATTAGATAATTCTGTTCTTGTACGATATCTGCATGCTGGAAATATGCTACTGCAAAGAGATACGGAGGGTTATTCTCAAGTATTACTTTTATGTATGAGTTAAAACAATAGAGACACTCATGGCACTTAATGACTTAATACATTTATTATGGCATAACATTTCATGGGCTTTAGTTTACTTAATTGGATACATTAAATATTATATGTGAGCTGTGGGCTTTATTCTTTGCATGTCATATATTGGTGAGTTATCTCTAGCAATTATGCTCAGTGTCTTCCTTTCTTGCTGTACATAAAACTTCATCAAAATCAGGAATTCATACAGAATAAATAAATGCTCCTGAATATGAACTTCAAAATTCAACATTTGCATGTAGAAATCATGGTCTGATGCATTCAAATTTGTTTAAGGATTCAGACTTCTGATTAAGTTTCTGCAGCTGCTAGAGAAGAAAAATTGTCTGCAATGTTAGCAGTTTCCATAGTGTAGATGTGAGCAGACTTGCTGGATTTAATTAAGGTGGCAACTCCCAGCATGCCCCAGATAGGGCATGCTGGGAGTTGCAGGTTTTATTCCTGTCTAAACGTGCATAGGAATGCATCCTATTTTTTCCCCGTTTTCTAGACCCTTGAGGTCCACCAACCAGAGGTGCAAAATACTGGCTCATGCAGGTGGGCATACCCCAGGAACTGGTTTGCATTATCATCATGGGTTAAACAAGCTTGGGGCTTGTTTAATTCTTGGTGTCTTCTAGGTGCTATCCATCTAATCCCCTCCAAGAGAACCTTTTAGCAACTTAATATGGGAGGAACTCTTAATTGTTGTGTTAGGTAAGTGAGGTGCTGCCACTTCCCGGTGAGGCTTTTGTGGGGCCATCCCTCTGCCTCATTTATGGAATTTTGCAAGGAATCCAGATAATAGTGTCATCAGCTTCCAGCCATTCCATGTTTTCCCACGACTTCACCTTTCACCACAGAAAATTCATTAAAGAAAAGCCAGAATTGCTCTAGGAAGTAGAAGCCATGTCTGGAAGTACCTAGAACTAGAAGCCCTTGCTGGAATCTCATGCAAAATGGTTGGTTCTTCCAGTAAACTTCCCAACCCCTACTTTAATGGTTGCACTGAATTGTATTTGGTTCCCCAGCTTTGCTGATACCAAGTACCAGTGGATGTGATCTACTATTCCTTGTTATTGTCTGTTTTATCATCAGTCTTTAGCTGTTCTAAACTTTAATTTAAAAACCTGTTCTAATTTTTTCCGACTTTATATTTTATTGTTTGTTATCATCTCATTTTATGGACTGTATATACAACCCAGAGAGCTTCTGATATGGACAGTATAGGAATGAAAGAAACAATAAGAATATTTCCTTGGTGCAAGGTAGTTGGGAGCCACATGTAAGAATGGAATACCTTGAATATATTCTTCTCCCATAGTACTTAGGGAGAATTGCTTTTATGCAGCTTTTCTACTTTCTTTTCAGGATTCTGTTAGCAGGCTGGTCCCAAACAATGATACATGAATCACCATTTCTTTGTAGGCAGGGCCATAGTGGGGTCTGGAATTAATTGAAAGGAATTAATGCTTGCTGTGCAGGAAAAGCTTGTAATTTAGATCTGGCATATTGTGTTGACTTATTGTAAACAACTCCTCCATCTAGAATGTCGAAAATGAGGGAGGGAGAAAGAAATGCTACTTGAATGTTCTGATTACTTGCTGGCATCTTGAAGAGGTAATTAATGTTTCCATAGATTCTGGGGTGAGGGCTTAGTCGCTTGTAGGCTTATATTTTCCATACAGTTTTCCATACAGTTTCCATACAGAATGACAAGTCAGGTTGACTCTCTCATGACTCACTTGTGTCATTTTATTTCATTTCTATACTTCCCAGTAGTGAAAGCTTTCTCAGCAGCTCACAAATATTAAACCTCCAAAATAGGACATGCTAAAAAGACATAAAATCTTTGGAAATGTAAAATTGATAAAACAGCTTTAAGAAAGAAAGAAACAAGCTGTAAAACTTCAGGACCCAGTAAAGCAAGTGGCATTAAAAAGGCCCATCATATATTATCACATGGCCTGGGAGGAAAGGAAAGTCTTAAACTGGTGCTGAAGATGGGTGCCAGGCAGACCACATTGGGGAGACATCCCATAATAATTAAATGGTGTCCCCAGCTGCTGTGCACAGCCTTCTCTGGCCTAACATTTAGGGGCTTCCTTATGCATCTTTAAAGAGATGGTGTGAACAAAGTTACACAAAAATCCACAACAGCAGCGATTTTGGTGTCAGTGACTGCTCCACCTCCGATATTTTACTCATATTCAGCTCAGGGTGAAGCTTTTC